AATAAATTCCCTTTAATGTGTGGGAGTGAGCTTTCATCTTCAGAGATATATATTCTGCATACTTATAGTGCGGAGTCTGCATTTCATAGTGCTCAGGTGTCTTTACTCAGTGTACCTGTCACGAAGGGGATTTGTTCAGTAATACAGTGAACTGTTTTAGCATCATTTTCATGCTGAATATTTCCATCCAAGAAAATAAATTGCTGCAATCATTTTGGTCAGTATGTTGGAAAGGGTCAACTAAATCCTAGTTATACATTTAGCTGTCACATCTATATGCAAGGAAGAAAGTGAAGATTTTTTCAGATCAATGTTGTTTTATATATAGAAGTTCAATTTATCATTCCTATTGCCTAATATTATTTATGTCTATGGCTATTGAGCTGTGGGTTCAAAATGAACAGGAAAGCTCCCATTAAAAAAACTAATATGCTTAAGAATATTTGATTTTCACATCTAATCTTCTTTACCCTCATGTCAACTTGGAAACCTCCAGATAGAATATTTTATGGTATTTTAGGACAATCTTTCATGTTGACCCTGAGGGACTTGTCATTTTCAAGAGCAGATATTAATCTGTCTCAGAAATATTGCATGGCAAATACTGTGGAAAAGTTTGTATAATTTATGTAGTATTAATGCAATTTTAGTGTTGCAGCAGAAGCTTTAAAACGATGTAAAGCCATAGAAAAAATAAATAAAATTACAAACTAGCAACTAGGGCACCTCTACTATTTAGAACTGAAGCTGATTTTATTTTAATTTCAGCTTTTCCTTAAAAACATTAATTGCCCGAAGCAAAATCCCTCCCTAGAGCATGAGCTCTCTGATGTTCTGTCCAAAAAAGAAACATTCAATTGAAGCTAAGCAGTTGTTTGCTACTGGCAAATCATTGATCTTTATACTTTATTTTCAGCATTTTATATAGTATGTTTCATAAAATTTAAAAATTAGGTTATGCTCATAAATCTCGGCTGATTCACCATATTGTTCTTTATATGTTGTTGTATACTTTTGCCATGGTAAAATGATTATATTAGCCCTTTTGTTGTCTAAATAAAGAATCTCTAAACTAGCACAAAAGAAAGCATTAGTGCATTAAATTTAAAAAAAACAATCCTCATATAAGCCTACAGCATTTGCAGCATTATCTCATGCATTTTAACCTAATTTATAGCAGAAGGCTTTGATCAGCAATCTGTACACCACACAACATCCTAGAGGTTGAATTAATAAAGGAGTACTGATTTTTCCTCTGTGTTTTCTTCAATTATCCAATCATATGCGGGGAACATTCCTATCATATTTAAGTTGTACTGCACATCATTATCCCTCTGTTGGCGAGACCGTCTCTTTTTGGAAACTAATCCCTCCATTCACCTTTCCTCGTCACTTGTCCCTCTATTTGATCTGATGTATATGACCTCTATAAAGATATCTGTCTGATGCTGCGGGATTCGATATGGCCAATGCAGGTGATCATAGCTGCTTCAGGAGCAATTAGCTGGTATGAAGGGAACATACTGTACTTATAACCCGATGTCTATCACTCTGCACCAGATTACCTCTATTCTTCCTGATGAAGCATAAGTGGAATGCGTTGAAGACTGAGCCACTTGTCACTTTCTTCTAAGTGATGAACTTTTGATTTATTTACATATCACATATGTTTTGTGCAATCAAGTGGCAGTGTTACATAGTCGTTATGGACCACATTGTGTATTTGGCCTTATGAATAGGCACATGTCTTGGAGAAAGTTGTTTTTATTGTACAGTTTTTATATTTGTATTAAAATAAAAAAAACATGTATTTTATGTAACTTATATATGTTTGTGTCTTGGCTGTAGTGTTCTGGGTGGAGGGGAGTGAGTATATGTAGTATTATGGCTGAGAAAGGGGGGTTGAGTAAATGTAGTATATGTAGTATTATGGATGGGGTATGAGTATATGCATTGTTCTGCTGGGAAAGGGGGGGAATATATGTTGTGTTCAGGGGGTGGGAGTGTGTACGTGAGAGTATATGTAGTGTTCTGGCGAGCATGTGAGTATATGTAGCATAATGGATGAGGGATGTTTGAGCATATGTAGTGTTCTTGATGAAGGAGTGTAAGCATATGTAGTATTCTGGCTGGGGAAAAAGGGTAAGTATATATGAAGTATATACAGTTTTATTGGTGGGGGTGTGTGAGTATATGATGTAGTGTTCTGTCTGGGAGGGCATAAGTATATGAAGTGTTCTGGCTGGGAAGGGAGTATATGTATTGTTCTGGGGGGAGCATTCCAACACCTGGCACGGCAGTTGTAACTTTTGGGTGGAGGGTTCACCTGCCAGACAGCCACAGTATAGTCCCAGCCAGCTGAGGCAGAGCAACAGTGTTTGAGTGTGCTTTCAGATAAGTACTGCAACTGACACCAAAGATACAGGACGTATTTTTATCACCCAGACACCAACAATACTGGACTTATTTTTTCCACTGACACCAACCATACAGGACTTATTTTTTCTCACTGACACCAACGACGGGGTTTATTTTTTCCCACTGACACCAACAATGGAGCTTATTTTATTCCACTGACACCAACAATGGGGCTTATTTTATCCTAATAACACCAACAATGGGACTCAGCAAATATTTGCACTTATTTTATCCCACAGATACCTACAATGGGGTTTATTTTAAATCCACTGACACCCATTGGGTTTATTTTTACTCTTACTTTCTCTTTTGTGTACACTAAGACATCATTTGTCTAAAACATAGAATAGCTATCATCCAATCATGTGCAAGCAAATATAGTTTTTTTTCCTAGCCCGTGATTGGGTGGATTCACCACATTCACTAAGCAAACAGCTTATTATCCTTTAGTAAATCAGTCCCACATTCTCACCCACTTTATTGGCCAGACCTTCTTTTGGCCACACCTCATCAGTCAGAAGGAGGGTGCTTTCAGGTATTTTCACATGTTGGCAACTATGATGCAGCTGTAGTGCTTCTAAGGTAAAAATGTAAAACTGGTGATAAAAAATGGTATATCCTACTTACAGATGTAATTTCTATATCTCATTCTAACTTTACATCTGGCTACACTTGTAAAAGCCCAGTGAGATTTTAAGTTGTGTGGTCAGCTTGATTGGGCACACATAATTCATTTTTAGATCATTTGATTATGCATTATATGACTTTGTAATAAAGTTTAGTTTCATTCACATGACATCTCCATCCACAATCCATGATACATAGTAATGATACATAGAATATGTGGCAGGCTTTGAATAATAGCATAAGACTTGACATTTAAAAAACATCAGGGAATCCAAACATTTTCAACAAGCCTGGTCATTTTTTATTTAACTGTGGTGTCCCAAGGTTAACTGCTGCAATCATTCCTAGCTTATACTTTACAAACATGTTCAAAGTCATATCAGATTATTTCCATAAATTATGCAAACATTAGGGTATATTTTTATTTTTTTATAGTTTGAAAATAAATTTGATGAATGTGTAAACAATGATGAATTGACTTATAGAAGAAAAATACCTGTTGCCTTCAGTATTTCATCTTGTTGCTTTACTGTAAAAATAGCCCATTCCCATGATAGGCAAAGGATAATTTCTCAATATTCTTTGTAGTGAGAACATAATTTCCTTGCAGCTTTCCTCTACTCTTACTCCATAACTCAACTGCAGGCATGTCAAACTCTGGATTCAGTTGTCAGTTTATGTTTGACAAATTCAGAATGTTGTTTTGGCATCTTTTTTGGGGGGCCATTGTTATAACTTGATTATGTGCCTTTGCATTAAAAAAGTGGTTGTGGATATTTATATATGGGGAAATGTGTATGCGGTTTATTGTGTGCGTTTATGGGCTCTTGCTTGGTCAACATTGGTCTAAAGATTGTGAGTAGTTTTCTGCCTATTTATGCATCTAACTATATACACACACACACACACATGTACAGTACATTTGTATTATTATTTTCATGCAGAAATGTAGGCAAATATAACATACCCACTTATAACTTTTAAGTTAAAGTCCAGTTAAATATTCATAAGAAAAGACAATCCTAAAACATATTTTGAAATATAACCTTAGCTGGTCTTTACATTGTGTTATGAAACACAGGGATATGTATTTGATATTCCTCCTGCTCCAGGTCAATCAGCATAGAGCAGCCCATTCGTTTTTATGGGCTGTCCTATGAGCGACAAAAGCAGCAATAAAGCTCATACAGAAGTTTGTGCTGCAAGAGTTGCTGAGGTAAACCTGAATGTAAATAGTTTTTTACCTCTCTTCCCTCCTTCCCTCCTTAGCCACATTATATTTTTACTTTTTAGTGCAAAAATGTTTCCTGTATTTTCTATCTACTCTCTTTTTCCTTGTTGTAGCATAAACATTTAAAAAACACATATACATAATAAAAAAAACACGTAATGTGTAATTAACTTTGCCGTGTGCCAGAAATATTTTGGTATCATAATATACAGAACAAATTTCAGAACACAATTAGCATGTTTCAGTTACATTTTTTGTGTTAACATTATACAACATTAAATATTCCCCCCCCCAAAAAAAAATATATATACAGTCATGGCTAAAAATATTGGCACCCCTGTATTTCTGTCAGAAAATGCACCACTTTGCATAGAAAATTGTTGCCATCTGAGAGACCTGGAGCAGTTGGCGAACGAAAAGTGGTCCAAAATTCCTTTAGAGAGGTGTAAGAAACTCATTGATGGTTACAGGAAGAGATTGATTTCAGTTATTTTTTCGAAGAGCTGTGCTACCAAATATTAATTGAGAGTGCCAATAATTTTGTCCAGTCCATTTTTGAAGTTTTGCGTGGAATGTGTCAGGTTTGGCTTTTTTCTCTCTCCACTTTTTCGTGTCATACCATTACAAACAAAAGAAATATGACAGCTTCAATATTTTTGTCTCTCTTGGCTGTGGAGGTGAAGTTAGTTTATAGGATTATTATGCATAATATTCGTACACCTACTTTTGCAGCGCACTTGTTTCTATCCGTTCCTTCTCTTTTTTACATTTATCTTTATATTTCTTCACACGAGTTTCCCATAGTCCTCTGATATGAGAAAAGTCAATAACTACGGCTTCAAAAGTCATGGTCTCACATCTAAATTATCTGTAGATGAGCTGTAAGAAGAAAAAAGCACATGGCTATCATCCCATGATAAAGTAGTTTCTGATGTTGTGTTGGAACAGTGTACATGTACTTCATAGTAGGAAATATAGAATAATATTGACGTTTTATTATGTTGCCTTTATACTAAATTATTTATTTGAAAAAATATATATTTTTTACAAAACATGCACTAGCATATACATTATGCGTGTTTAAAGTGAATGTATGGCCACATTTTTCCTTTTATTTTGTGATACAGTAGAGAAGAGTTAAAACCGCTGTCAGTTTATTTTTTTCTCTGTGTCCCTTTAATGAGATTTGACAGTTGTAAAATGTTGGTTTTTCCTTCACTTTCAGTCCCATTTACAGAGGTCTCCATGACAAATAGAGAGGATGCTTCTACCCAGCATGGACAGCAATAGAAACTTGAGGTTAGAGGTACCAACCCTTCCATATCCACTTTAAGGGACATATGTTGTGACAATGAAAAAATAGTAGACTCCCTGCAGCCAAACAATACTATTTCCATTAATGTTAACACATAAATGTTAGGGGAAACATATTGAAATTATATCTGTTTTTCATACCTGCTTTTTCAAACTCATACACTGCTGCCTTTTGGCAAGAACTATACCCACTGCCATTTCAAATCAAATCAGCAGTAATCAGTATGGCACAGACAGAATTGGTGTCGGTACAATCATGATATCTGCGGATCAGGGCTGACAGGTAAGAGGTGTTCAGGGGTGTGACCAGCCCACCTGAGACCCTGCAGAGCCCACCATAGTCAATGGTGGGCTCTTCAGGGTCACTCTTAGGTGGGCTGTGTGGGATCTCAGGTGGGCCTGTCTAAGAACCTTATTTGGAAAAGAGAGTTCCTTAAAATAGGAAAAAGGGGTGAAGGAAAGCAACAAATCTCAGCAGTTTGGAACATTTTTTGGAATACATACTGGCCTGGTTAACCCCAGCGTGAGATGTTTGACTATATAGGTCTTGTTCCTTTTTATTTCTGCATGTCTTATAAAGTTTACCCTGATCATAAAATCTTTATATCATTTAGGGGGTTGTTTACAAAGCTAGCCAAAGGATCAGCCGTAGCTACGGCTGATCCTTCGGCTAGCTTCGGCCGTCTGAGCACTTCGGTTCAGTAGAACCGAAGGACTGCTGTACAGGCTATTCACAATAGCCCGTACAGCTCCCGAAGTTGGCCGGGCGTCTCAGTCGAGCCGAAGGCATATGCTTCAGCTCGACTGAGTCAAGGTGAAAGCCGAAGCTGGCCAAACCTGCTACTGCTGGACAACCTGCTACTGACAGCTGGGTGGAGCCAGCCATCTTCTCACGGCTGGCTCCGGCCACTTGCAGAGTCAGATCAGCGTCCTCTGGTTACCAAGTAACCAGGGGACGCTGATCTGTCAATACGATGAGAGCTTAGCAGAGCCGGCGGTGATATGAAAGCCGACTCTGCTGAGCTCTCATGGTACTGACAGTTGAAATAGCAATTGATCGCAAGTATAATAATGCACATACTGTATACTATACTAATCACATTCATAAGAATGCAGCTGCCTTCACTGATCTAAATAACCTATTACTTTCTGCAACAATGGATCAATAAAAGCACTGTTATGTTAAGCATTCTTTTTTTCAAAAATGTATAAAGATAACTAAAAATCTAAGTCCTTTTTTGTTTTAATTAAAAAGAGAATTTGGTAGTGAAGTTGTATTTCCGTAGCATGTAAAAACCTGGGGACTCTGATCTGTCAGTGCCATGAGAACTCAGCAGAGCTGGCTTTCATACCACCGCCGGCTCCGACAAGCTCTCATTGTAATGACAGCTGGTCCAGGCCAATAGAAAACAGTTGGGTGGAGTTAGCTGTCACTGCTAGCTCCGCCCAATCATTTTCTATTTTTTTTCCTACTTTTTTAAACTGTTTTTCTATTCTGCTCGGTACCACAGAGGTACCGAGCAGAATAGCCGAGCCGAATGCCGCTCAGCAGCATTCGGCTATTCACTCACTGCTGTTCGGCCCCTATGAGAATAGGCCGAACAGCAGCGAGTAGCCTGCTGGAGGTTCGGCTCAGCCGATCCAGATGTTGGATCGGTTGAGTGGAACTCCTCCTGCACTTCGGGTCGGCCGAACATGCTGAGCATGTTCAGCCGACCCAGAGCCACCCGAAGCAAGCCGATGTACGGCTGATTTCAGCCGATATATGGCTGAAATCCACTGTACAAGCCTGAAGTGAATAACCGAACATCGTTCGGGCTCACTTCACTTCGGGTCAGTTATTCACTCGGCTGCCTATGGCAGCTTTGTGAATAAGCCTCTTAGATTTGGCCATAAATGTGCATAGGTAAACCCATTAAAAAGCCCACTACACAACAGTTCCTTTGGCTATCCATGTTCCATTTCCATGTTAGCAGCACACCAATACCAAGTCAAATTAATTAAGCTTTAAGAAGCTATAGAATAGGTTGTTTTCTTTATAAATAAAATATTAGTTTACCTCTTAATCATATGTTGCACTTTCTACTGTATAATTGTTATGTTGTCCAAAGCAGCTTCTTTGTCAAACTGTTTAAAAGTTTGGCATAAGTTGGGAAAGATCTATTGATTTGTTGCTTTGAAGCTGCACCATGCATTTTCACACCAAGCTCAGAAGCACTACATTAACATTCAGGTAAATGGAATACTCTTTCTTTTGTCAAGAGTGGATATTTGAGGAAAAATATACCACTATAATATATTATTTTGTATTAATATTTGTCAGTGGAAAGCCTTTTTCCATTGATTTTCTTCTAAATAGTATTATATTAGCATAAATAAAACCCACCCTGATGACTGTCATGAAGCCAGAACCAGCTTGTGTGGCCAAAGCTCTAAGCAAGCGCATGCTAATGTGTGTGAGCACAGTGTGGCACGTAGAATTGTGCACGGCCGTGTGCCTCTGCACAGATCTGTGCATGTCTGTGTGCACGTTCCACAGCATGAGAGCGGATGTATGCATTATGAACTGTGTCGCCAAACAAGCTATGTAAGGCTGAGACATCCTAGCCTCCTTGGTGAGTGACCTTCAGCTGTTCCCTGCTATCAAAGTTCCTGTTTCCTGTATACTGATTCCAATCTCCAGTTACCGACCCTCGACCTTCTGATTGCTGTACCCTCAACCACGGCTCGTTTTTGTCATTTCTCTCTGCTGTTCTATAGTTCACTTACTTCTGACTACGCTTTGCCTGCTGTTCTGCTACCTCACTGCCCAATTGTTGCTGAATTGGCTTCACCTGGACTTTGCTATTAAAGTGGACCTTTACCCATATCTTTAAAATAACAACAAACACACCTTTAGAAATGTTTAGTAATGACAATCTCCAAACACATACTGCTAGATAATTTCCATATTTGTATTCTTTGCATACGTTATTTCTATTTTCTTCCCCAGTCTTCTGACAGTGGCCATGTTTACTAAGGGCAGATTACTAGATCTCCTTTTACTTCCTGGATTTCCAGCATATGTGACTAGTACATGTGACTAGGACATGTGACCATGAGCATCAACAATACAGAATGCAGAGAATACAGATGAGATACCAATATCAGTGTGCATTGCTTTGCCAAACTGTCATTCTGCACTTTCAAAGTAGAAAGTGAATGCTCTGCAAGTGTAAGTATTTCCAAACCACAGCATTTTACACCTGACATGTCTATATTATTATTAATCATTATGCTATAATATGTGGTTAATCTTCAAAGCACCTGATCATTTTTCTGTGCAGCAATTTCCTATAGGAAGTGTTAATGATGCACGTGTTGCAGTCAAGGGCAAACAAGGGCATAACAGTGGTTAGGGAAGATCGTGATTAGTACATCTTGTACCTGCCATTTTTTATGCATGTATCTCAAGTTTGGTCTTTAATTGTACACAAGTTTTAATCATTATCAAGCTGCATTTCAGTTTAAATAAATGCCTTCACACAATAGGAATACTTAATGTATCTGCACTTGTTACATTGATATATTTATCATTCCCAGTGACACCTTCTTTAGAATTAGATACATCATTGTCTCATTTTGCAAGTTTGATGTATGACATTGACATACTAGTGTGGTAAGAGTATAGTTCTCCTGATGTATGGGCTTCAAAGATAAAGAACCATTGCCATTATGAATAGATTTTTACAATTATCCCGTCACGTTTGAAATGAAGGGATCACAACGTGAACAAAACAGCTGACAGACTTTGGACTTTCTATTCATAATCAGTAACTTGATTAAGCAAACGTCAGTGCCTGAATATTCCTAGAGATGTATTATTTTCCATGTCATCATTCCAGTGTGTGAATTCAAATAGGAAATGTCTTTATGCTATTTTTATGACATACGTTTTTTAATATGTGATGCATTGAATTCAAATCTTTATTAATTGAGTGGTGTTTGGTTATAGTATAACTAGAGGGACTACAGAGGGTGCTGTTGTACCTGGGCCCATAGGGTCAGAAGGGCAAAGCTTAGCTGTGCCAAACCTCTTGTTTAACCACTCGAAGTCCGGGGGTGTTAAACCCCCTTCCCATCCGGGCCATTTTTCAGTATTCAGTGCTGCGGTACTTTGACTGACATTTATTCTGTCATGCAACGCTGTACTGAAATGAATTTTATACCCTTTTTTGTGGACAGATAGAGCTTTCTTTTGGTGGTATTTAATCACCACTGGGGTTTAAAAAAAAAAAATTCAGTTAAAGTACCGCAGCGCTGAATACTGAAAAATGGCCTGGATGGGAAGGGGGTTTAACACCGCGGATGTCAACTGGTTAAAGCGCCATTAAACTCAAAAATTAAATCATAAAACTAGCTTCTATTATATAAATAATAAATGACTGTGTATCTTTTTTGTCATTGTTCAGCTCTAAATGCTCCAAAATCCATTTTATTTTTCTCCAACCACACCTTCCTGCCATAGGGTGGCTACTTTTCTTCTCCATGGACCC